AGTGCTTTTACAATTTTCAGTGTAGGATTTATTGTCTACATTTCTCAAGGTAGCACAGAAGTCATTGTAGAATAGAATAGAAATATCCTATTTCCCCATGATCGGAAGGTCGGTGGTTCGAATCCACTGAACAGCTACCCTGAGGTACCCCTGAGCAAGGTACCGTCCCTACACACTGCTCCCCGGGCGCCCAATGGCTGCCCACTGCTTCACTGAGTGAATGGGTTAAATGCAGAGAGGAATTTCCCCAAGGGGGTCAATAAAGTACACATTCTTTCTTTTACTGTCCTTCATTGGATCATTGGGGAAATTCATGTGTTCCAGCAGTTTTAGTTTTAGTCAAAAGTTTTAGATTTTCTTGTAAGATTATTTTAGTCTGTCACCTTTTGGCTCTTTTAGGACTGCCAGATGATGTTCTATGAGTGCAGCGCCTGCTCTGGGTACAATGTCGTGGAGTCCATGGTTCATTTAGCCAGGTGAGCAAAAATAATGACATTTCAGCAACATTTTGCCCTGCAGGAAACTTCAGTTTGGCAAACTGTGGAGTGATTATCAGTGAGACTCTTCCTGCACCAATATACATCTTTATATGTGACAATACACTACTTAACAAATTTATTAGACCACCTGTAATAAAAACAAGAAAACAAAAATATATTAGAAACATGTTATTTAATTTAAAAAAAAAATGAATCCACATTTTTATAGCCAAGTTTGAGTTGGCACACCGGACTTCTTACTTATGAGAAGTCAATAATTAATCAAGCTTAATGTTTAATCACTAAAACTTATTTTTCTGCTCATGAAATGGCAAATGGCCTGTATTTGTATAGCGCTTTACACGTTCAGTGAAGGTAAATAAATAACTGTAATTTGGCATTAAATAAAAATGTGCTTTACTGTTTTCTACAGCTTTTTTGTAAAATAGCACATTTTAAAATTATTCAGTAACAACCGTAATTACAATTTGGCATTAAAAATATAGTTTCAGTTACACAGCTTGAGCATACTACTGGATTAACCATTACAAAAACATAAAACATTTGGTATTTACCACTACTTTTAACTGGTAATTACTGTGGTAAGTACTGTATAAAAACGTAAGTCAAAAGTTTGTAACAATAAGAAAGCAGTCACGTAAAATGCCCAAGTGAAAGTAAAAGAGTAACAGTAACCTGTTTTATGAAATTACTGCTAAAAATCAGGATACTATAGGTTTGTGAATCTAGACAGCATTATTGTGTGAGTGAGGATTATGGTTCTGGTCTTGGACAGAAGAAACAAAAGAAAACAAAATGGTTACTAGAATATTTTTCGTTCTCTGAAAACGCAGTGAGGTATCTCACCATGCGAAGGGCCCTATGGCATGATCAGTCCCTGAAGCTCCAGTATCACGCGGCCTGTCCAAAGGGAGCCCTGTTCTGCAGGCAGTAGAGTCTAATAAAAGTATGTGATAACACCAGCACTTGTAAGCAGGGCCCACGAGTAGCCATATGTCTGATGGAATGCACTCACAGTTATACAGGAGGTTTCAGTCCTTGGCACACATACGCCACCAGCCAGCTGCTCCTGGGGAAAATAAAAAATCACGAGTGAGAGCTCAGGACATGGACTGGTTGAACTGGTTACCTTTTCAAACATCCCTAGCGCCTTATCACTATCTGGCAAATTACACAGGAAGATAATGCATGCCGTGCACAACAATGAAAAAAAGGTTCCTTCACACCATCTCTCAAACGTCAGCACTTACCATTATGAGCCAAACGTGTACTGTAGTTAGCACCCAAGTATTCTGAGTGGTTTCTGTCAGTCCTCAAGGGGGGAGTCCATGCACAGTGTCAGCAGCAGCCACAGACCACGAATGTAACACTAGAGCGTCAGAGATACCCACTGCCATGCATTGCATATAGCAGCACTATTAGCACAGGTACTCTAACGTGCTAGTCTGCAATTTTTGCTGTCAAATAAAGTAACTTGTTACGACATCTTAACCACTTACAAAACAAACCCAAATGAATGCAAGTGGAATTTACATCATGGTTTCACCAGAGGACCCTTCCCATAGTGAGAACAAACTAATCACTGATGAAGATAGAGCAGAGTTAATGCATATGCACGTTTGCATTTTCATAGCAAATCCAACTCCAAAGGGCGAAGCGCATCATGATGCACATCAAGGCTCCTGTTAGAAATTGCTACATTTTTGTCTCATTATGTCTCGTAGAATTCTGAAAGAGCAAGAAGACCAAGAAAAGGAGAAGACTGTCCATCTCGTCAGTATCCACTCAGAGAAGAAGAGATCCTGCTGCTGACAGATAAACAGTTGACACTTACACAGAAGCACTACCCTTTACGTAGATACACGTTGTAAAAGTGTGATCACGTGTGCAAGCGAGAACATATCGTGCTGATTGTCATCACAAAATTGTTTACTCTTTGCATTAAAAGTTCTCTGTTATAAATGTGTGATTTGCCAAACTAGTGACAGTTTAAAAATCACTTATTCACGAGGATGAAGTAAAACACGAGTCATAGCTAGTATGTGGATTTCCCTCCGTGGGTCAGATGTAAATATCACTGAACAAATGTTAAGCTAAGTTCACTCTTTTTCAAGTCAAACTAGGACATTTTTAATGAAGGATACTTACTCACAGTTGAATGTAACTCACAAATTTCCAATATTTAATAATCTTCCAAAGGCTTTGTAGTATTCAAATGTGGAGTTTTTGCTTTTAATATATGAATTCAGTGTTTAAATGTTTCGTCTTTACATCTTTTTCAAACATTTCAGGTGGACTTAATAGTGTGAATAACTGTAGCATATGACTCATTGTCAAACAACATTGCATTTAACACTACTTTTGAAAAGCCTTTGGTGTTCAGGTTTAGATCGCTTTTTAAGTTCGTGGTTAGTCTTTGGACCAAGATTAACTGTGGTGTTAAATAACATTTCGGGATATTATGGTTGCTTCACTTGGTGAACTGCAGTTATATCTTTTTAATGAACAAACAAAAAATGTCGTTTAGTATTTGTCCCACAGCTGTTATTGTTGATGTTATTTTATATTACAGGTGTTGTTATAGCAGTACTGCAAGTTACTAGGCTACCTGTGTATTAACATGAGAGCTCATCTCAGCTTTATTTTGAAAGACACACCCTTGTTCCCAAGAGACCAGACAGTTGACAAATATTTATTCAACTTTTCACTTTACTATGTTTGGTGCCAAGTATTTATGAAAATGATATTCCTGTAACTTGATATGTAATTTGTAACACTGTGGTTTTGGTAAAAAAAAAAGAAAAGAAAAAAAGTACTCTCACTAACAGTGAATCACTACTGCCAGGATCTTGCACATTACTCTAATGTAGACATACATATGTATATAAAAAATGGAGATGGCGATAACTTAATAATAGCTATGTGTACAGTTTATGTGAAAAGCACGGGAGGACTTTGTTTCCTTTCTGGCACCATGAAATAAAAATATATTGTACAGCATCACCTGGTGGATATGTTTGGACATTGCAGTTTATTGAGTTTTCAAACTTACAGTACATGACAATATGTGAAACAATATATTCAACAATAAAAAAGTAATACATGTGCAATCAGCATGCTGATTTAATAGATTTTTTATAACTTATTCCGTCGCCATGTTTGTGTTTAATAAGTCGGATGTTTGTCCGAATACATTTTCTTTCTGAATCTAAAGGTGCTCTTTCGATGCAGGTATTATTATAGATAAATAACCTTTAATTTGAATGAACTGTAAGCATAAATGACTCGTGATATTGCTTATTTGTGCCAATAGCTTTGATCCTGTACACACGATGATCCTGTATAAAATGCACACAATCAAAGCAATTATCAAACCGTGTGCTCTCAGAGGGCAACGCTGCAGCTTGATGCTGTGCTTTCTTTTAGTTGGTAATTACATGAGTTTATTATGATGATCTTCATTCACTACCAACATATGCACACGTTGTACATTTTGCTTAGAATTTGGTAGTAAGGGTAGGGGTGGGCGATAGAAACGATATACAATAGAAACGATATAAATTTGGCCACCGATAGAGATTTTGACTCTATCGCGATAGCGCATGTTGATGATGTCATCAAGCTGCGCCTGTTTTGGTCGAAAGCAGCGGCTAAAACCATTATCATCTGCAAATTATGCCGGGCGACAGTCACAGCAAAGACATGAAGCACTTTTGAAATATGGGGAAAGCCAAAAACTGCGCTTCCTCCACTTCCGTAACATTGATTCATTAATGTTGAATTCTCTCGCAGCTCCGTGTATAGCATCCTGCTATGCGATTGCATTTGTCCCTGACCACCAGAATCCCTCACGTTAACTTTTATCGAGTTGAAAAAAAGTTGGCGTTCATCCTCCAGCTTCACTGTGCTAATGTTATGCTAACATAGCTGTGTCGCTAGCAATCACGTAGCACAACATTATATACCAGGTAGTCCAGCTTCAGTAACCCTGCAAACGTCACTGCTGTTTAGTTTCCTGTCTTCATTTATGTTGGAAGTGGTAGCAGAGCTGTACGTTTGAATTAGTTTCAAAAATCTCTCAGTCAGAACATGCTATGAAATGTTTAGGTGTAAACTAGCGAGCTAACTTCCTGCTAACTTCTAACTCCATTAAATTTAATAAATTCTGTTTTCATTACACCTGGTAACGCAGCAACGCTGATGATTTAATTAAAGATGAAAGAATTTAGACCGTTTTTAACTCTTAGTGTTTGTTTGACTTTGGGACCTGAAGCACACGGAGTTTTGGACCCAGATTACTCCGCGAAGCTCCTCACTACGGCAGCCGTAATGCTCTGACATCCATCAAGCAGTGCTGCTTACCAAAGTTGTACTAAAACATTTTTTAACAGATTTCTGCACGCCCAAATTGGTTTGAGGTCAGTAAGCACAACCAGAATTCATACAATTAAAGGATTTTAAGTGTGCCTTATAGCGAGGAAAATACGTTATACAGAAGAAAAGAATATATCGTGATATATATCGTTACCGCACATGCTTCAAATTATATCGCGATATGAATTTTAGGCCATATCGCCCAGCCCTAAGTAAGGGCATCTGTGTGTTTTAAGAATGGAGGCTGGATTTGGCAATATCAAGATCTGTGACGCGTGAGGCGATCCGGAGCACTAATGCAAGGTTTCAGATATGTAAAATATCTGCAGATCTTTACTGAATAAATTCTTCACCGGGTACCTTGGCAATGACTGTAGTAAGAGTACAGGGAAATGAAAAGATCCCCATCAGTACACTGAATCCAGTGTGAATCAAAAGTGTGCAATGCAGGGGGAGCCTGAGGTAAAAACCAAAGAACCATATCTTGTGGTCCGTACGTTTGCTAGAAGAAACCTCAGTATCCGTCAGTTTGGTTGAAGCCAAGATATTGGGATATAACTAAAGCAGGTCATCAATATTTTATTGACTCCCTTTGTAATAATTCTTTGTTGTCTGTCTAGGATCCAGCTGCATTATTAACAGTATGAGTTACGCAGGCTTTCCTTTGATTCCTTGACATGAATTATGCTCAGGCATATAGTAAATGGCTTGAGGCTAGATTTGAAGAACTGCTTAATCTTAAATCAACAGAATAAGAGTGGCTTGTGTCTACATATGAAACCACTGTAAGAAGCTAAACTCAGCAGTGTGGAACAAAACTAGGTACACTTCGGCACTTGGTCAAGGCATTTAGGATGGAAAAAGTATGTTTTTGGCAGGTCAACATCACAGCTCGAACTGACAACACAAAGCACACCGGATACCCAAAGCAGTTTAACAGTGTGAACTTTGACACCTTCTATTTTACACGCACTGTAAACCACTACTACACTGACTATGCAAACACATTACCTTTCACATTACACGTTTCTTTGTCCTGGCTGTGGTGTTCAGTCGCTTCTAGTTTTTCTCGCATTGCTAAACTGATACAACAATAAATAAATCATTTTACTGGTAACCATTTGCTACAGTACATGACATTTAAAAAATTAAATGTATTCTCTACTGTAACAGAATGTGGACATTAGAGTAACTCATTACTGTATTTTAAAAATGCCAAATATCGCTCCATAAGGTCCGGGTTAGTGTGGAAAAACAAATACTGAAGAAAACACACAAGTACGTCACTCCATCTCACATATACTTACGTCAGTAATTAACATTCATCAAGACTAGAACAGTTTCTTAACACATTTTGTCAGAGTTACATTCAGAATTGCTTAACAGTCAACATCCTGCCTTCATCATACAAGTAGCAACCATATTGATATTGTCAGTGGTGCCAGCTAAACCGGGTCTTTAGCCCGGTCTAATTTCTTCCTCTGTGAGTCTCGGTCCCGCTGTGCATCTGTCTGTGGTCATGAGAGCGTCTTTGTCTCCCTCTGGTGCTCAGGAGTTGCACTCAGCGGGGCACCAATGTCCCCGCAGTGAAACTTAACGCATCTTGTAGTCATGGGATATGGCTGCTTCACACAGCTGCCCTTTGAAATCCAGCTCAAAGGTGAAGTCTAAGTCACGCTGCAAGTGAGCAGAGAGACAGAAATAAAAAAGATGGTGTTCAGCGATACTTCAGACAACAACTGATCAAATACACAGCAGAAAGAAAGAAAATAACAAGTAAGACAAGAGATGAGATCTCCTTTTTGACCAGAGTGCAGAACATGGTATTACGAAAGCAGAGTGTTTGTGAAGAGAAAGCAGGCGCCGCTTCTCCATCCCGTAGGGGAGGAGAGGACACTGACAAGGTCAACAATAGAATCTGTTGTTGTTTGTTGAAGTCACTGCAGGGCTGCTGCCTGCATGACAGGAAGACAAAACTGAAGAGGAAACAGCCTGCTGTGGGCAGGGGATGACTCATTTACACATCTATCTATCTATCTATCCATCCATCCATCCATCCATCCATCCATCCAAATTTCAAAATATATCCATACCAGTACTTACAACATTTTTCTCATTGGGCTTCATAGCAATTGAGCCAACGATCTCTTCTCCTCTTCGGACTGTTAAATAGTCCTCCAGGTAAAATACTGTCTGCTTCCAGTGGGTGTATGGAGCATCTGGAGCTGCAACACACACAGAGAAACACTTTCACAATACTCACAATGAATGCCTAAAATCAAGAGTAATCATAAATGACTTATGTCACTAATGACTTTCGGAATGATAAATAAATCATTGATCACTTATAGGAACTGTTGACTAGTTGGCAGTTTGGAAAAAGACCTTTTAGTTGGTGTTTATTGCCACATGTCTGGATTAAAGTCTTGTTACTATTTACTGACTTTAATGAACAGCTGCAGATATCTCAGGTGTTTAATTTGTGCAATACACCAACTAAATAACCCAGACTGAAGACAACAATCAGTCATCCCAATGCAGCTGTGCATTTCTCCACATAGTTATCCCTTTTACAATGTTTCCAAAGATCTGAATACTATGTAAGCATACAAGAAATTAATCATGAGACTTTTTACCGATACACAGCTGCCTAAGTACCTGATGTGAATTTAACTAAGTGCAAAAAAGGCATGTGTCTTCACCTGAGATCCAGAATACAGCTCTGAAGTAAAATGCAGATAACAAATTTCTTGCCTCTCAACTAAAACTTTTGTCAGACTTCTTCCATTACCATTTCACTTTGTGTCTTTGTAGTCTTTCTTTATCTGCATTCATATAGTTTGCATGAATGTAAAACCTGAAATCCCAGTCCCAAAACCAATGTGAGCATTGGCCAGGATTCTGACCATTGCTGTCAATACCACTTAAAATAAATTAGACTTTTTGTTAGCTTTTGTGTGGCAGCTTGGTGGACCTGTGCTTTGTGAGTCCATAGATAAAAGGGCCTGCCAATCAGTATACTGCTACGCAGGCCAGGGTCTTTTTTTTAGGGCATAGTTCAATAAAGGCACTGAGAAACTAATTCTGTTTCATCCAGTTCTGCAACTGCAGTAGATGAAATGGTATTTTTGTACTGACCTAACCTTTTCCTCCTCACCTGACAGTCTGTGTGTGTGTCTGATACACTGTCCTTCACGGCCGCGTGAAAGACTGATGGCCCATTTTAGCCTTTTGTGTGTAATTTTTAATCTGTCTAACCTTTTCAGGAGGAAAGGCCCAAGTTTTGACACTGGAAACTTTGCTTGGCAGACACACTTACAGAAAATCAATAGACGGGACTGTGCTTTGGCAGAAAAAGCCAATGTTAGGAAACAATACATCTCTTTGAGTATAAGTCACAAGGTCTTGATGATGGTGTACTTGACAAATTAAAGGTGACCTGTGCTTACACACATTTTTTTTTAACCAAAAGAGCCAAAAGATATATTTGTTAATCCAACAGTTAAGACAGTTTATTCCTCTTTACATTTCAGTTCAATGTTCTCCTTCACCAACAGAGGTCAGTCACACACAGGTTTTAAAATTGCAGTCATTCTCTTGGAATGCCACAATCTCAAATCTTTGGATTGGCCTAATTTCACACAAATTGGGGCCTCCAAACATGCAAGGTGAGAAAGCACTGGTCTGCCATCTATGAAAAGAAGTGAGCACAATGAGGAACACAAAATCTGACAGGAAGTGTGGTTTTTCCCTTTCCCACTGGGCAAAGTATACAGCTCTGATTCTCATTGGACTGTGATGAAACACAGGGCTTCAGAAACAGGACACTCTTTAACCTGGGGTCTTCTGAATCTATCACTCCTAATTTAGACTGCAGAAAGTGACTTGTGTTATTTGTATGTCCTACTATGAAAGGGATTGGGTTTTTTAAACATAAAGGCAGGTTTCCCCTGATGCGATTCCATTCTTCTTGCAACTGTAGCCACATAATACCAGTAGGAATCCATGGTCTTCTTATCAGGGTTTATTGTTAGTTTCCACACTCAAGACAAAAGGAGACCGGGCCTTTTGAGGTTGTTGCTCCAAAGAAAGTTCAGAATTCTCTCAATGGAATAAAAGAGACTAGTTTTAGAAAATCGTTTTAGATCTGTTTATGTAGATTTGTCTTTTTTTT